GAAGAGAAGAGCGGTGGTAGGGTCGAATCTCGAATGGTATCAACCCTTTATCTTAGATGAAGTCACCTATAAGATTATCATTTCAAACCCTTTTTTTTATACTAACTTTCTTTCTTTCTTTCTTTTTTACTTTTACTTTTACTGCCTGTTACATTTCTTCTCTTATCTGCACTCAAACCTGTTGACTTTTTACTTCTTTTACTTTTTCTTTTTTAACATTAGGCCAGATTGCTTAAAATTATAAAAAGTCATATTTTTAAGATGATAAAAATTCCTTTTTTTTTAAATAGAAAATTATTTAAATAAAAAAAAGTTTAGATAAACATGTATAAAAGTAAAAATAAAAAATACTTATTTTATTTTAAAAAGTGATTTTATAACCTCAAGCGTGTGGTTCAGTGGTAGGGATTGATCCACGATTAAGCAATGTCAGGAATTCAAATCCTGCCTTGTGTATGCCACCTATCAGCGGTGGATACTCCAGGAATAAACAAAGAAAAAAGTGATTTTATAAATTAAATAAACTAGCTCATTATTAATTACTATAAAAAAAAAGGCCATTCGTCCCTCTATAATTTTTTTAAAAAAGATTAAAAAAGGATAAAATGATGTTAAATAAAGATAGAGATTAAAAGTAGTTACAATTATTGAGAGAGTAAATATTTTTAAAAAAGTAAGAAATTAAAGAATATATCTTATTTATATATAAATTAATGAAATTGAAATATTTCTTGTTAAAAAATAATATAAAATAAAAAATAAAAGTAATAGAAGTTACAATATGTGAGTTAGGTGAGATAATGTATGATTAGAAAAAGAAAAAGAAATAATTTTAAACAAAAGTAGTTAGAAAACAAGATAGTAATTATTATTGATAATGTGAATGATAAATAAATTTTTATATACATTTTTTTTATATTTTACTTTTAAAAAATATGATGGTGAAAAAAATTAATGAATAATAAAAAAATATAAATATCTAAAAAAATGTGAAAATCAAATAGAAATATTTTCTTTATAAATAATATAGATATAGATTTACTGTTATCATACAAATTAAATAAAATTTACTTATCGATGAAGTTACTAAATATTTTATATTTTAAAAAATATTAATAATTTCTTTTACAAAAATTTAATTTATAAACAAATATAAAAAAGAAATAGATTGAAAAGGATAACAATTGGTTGAAAAAAAGTCATCATACGCTGATTAAGATAAAATAAGGGCCATTTGCTAAGGTTAAAAGAAATTTTTTAGCCTGTTGCAAAATAAATGTATGAAATGCCCGTTCAAACGATAGAAAACGGAAAATTTTGAGAATATTTAATTGAATAAAGTCACAACCTAACCTTTCTCAAATGATGTATTTTAATCTATAATTTATTAGTAAATAAGAATATCACAAAATATGGCATATAAAAATACAATTTAATCTAGAAATATATAAATGAGTAAAGTTGGATTGAATTTAAACTATTTTATTATTTAATTCAATTAAACTTAATTGGATTGAGTTGATTTAAATTTATAAATTTTTTCAAGTGATTTAACCTAATTCAATTTGATTACAATTTGGTTAAGTCAAGTTAAGTAATTAAAAATTAATATATTTTAAAATTCGGAAACAAATTAAAAAAAAATAGGATAAAGAAATGGACACTTAATTCAAAAAAATTTAATAAGTGATGCAAAATCCAAACATTACAACAATTATAAATCAGAAATCATCAATGTTCCAAACAAGTAAATATTAAGTCATTACATAACAAATTTTGAATTACATAAAAAGTGAAATTAAATTATTCTTCTTACTCTATGTCTTTATCTTTTTTTAGTACTCACTGAGTTAACAATAATAACAATGACTATATTATATATGTGTAATATTTTGTAATTTAATTTAGTGGTCTACTATAAATTAGGTTAAGTATTACATTGCAAATTTCTTGATGTATTATCCAACCTAATTATAATTAGGTAACATAAAAGTTATCCAACTCAATTCAATGATCAAATCAATCTACATAAATATAATTAAATTAAGTTGAGTAATTCAAGTATTTGGGTAAATCATTATCTACTTACACCCGTAATTTATCTTATAAAGAAGACAAAGAAAACATTTATGCTAATTTATTATTAATTTGGACTCCTTTTATTAATAGGGTTAACATGAAATTTTTTGTTGATAAAAAATACTTAAAAATCAATAATTTATTATTAACTTAAAGCACATTTTGACATGAAGCTCACAAAAAATAAATTTGAGAATGATTACATAGGCAGTTACTTTTTTTTTAAATGTAACTTTTTTTAAGTATAATTAGTGTTATTTTTTTAATTTAGAATTAAAATTTTTACATAATAATTTGTACAATAAAGATTTATGTTAAAGGTCAACGTAGAATGAACACGTTCTTTTAAAGTTAATCCGAACACATTCTTTTCGGATAGGATGAAATTTGACAATTTTCAACCGATGATGGAGTGTTTCTTCATATGAAGCTCATAGCAAATGAATTTGAGAAGTATTACATTGTCAACTACGTCAATGAAACCTATTTTGATTCCTTTTTATACAAGATATGATTATCGTCTTTACCTCTTCCTTTGGTCCCTTTTCTGTTATGAATTGTTTTCTTCCCTTTTCAATTTACCATATAACTTATTGATTATCTCATGAATGTATTTGGCAAAGTGAGAATCAATTTGTTCCGAAAATTATTGTTACTAAATATATTTCACTCACTAACATAATGTATAAATTAAATTTTAATAATTCAATTGTTAAATTAGAAATTTTTATTAAATAAATTAAGTTTACAAATTTTTATAAAATTTAAAAATTATTTAATACATTGCTACATGCATTTAAATTAACATGCAATATACTTTTGTAACCATATGTTACATAAATTCAAATTAAATTATTTTTTTTTGTTACATAGATTCAAATTCTTATCGATGGTAGTGATGACAATAATTACAATAATAATTATGATAATAATAATGATATATGTAATTATAATGATGAGATAATTTTATTTATAGTGTTTTAATCTAAGTTGACTATTTTAATTTCAAGGTTATTATTATTCATTTTCATATAAGCGACCATTCTAATTAAAGTTGCTTCCTATATGTGTGTGTGGAAGAGGGGGAGGGATTAATTGCAATAGTCTCATTTTTTACTGTTATTTGTAAATTAGTTTTCTTTTTGACTGTTTTTCAACCTATATAGTTTTGATGTTGCATTTACGTTGTAAGCGGAAATATTTTAGATTTGAACATTCTATTTTTGTTATTTATACTATTGGAAATCACATATTGTAATGTTCTTATTAGCAATCGCATATTAATAAATTGTTTTCTCTTTTAAAAAAAATATTTTTTTTACACCATTAGTATATCACCATTAACCCCCTCCCCCCAACATGTTCATGAATAACATTACCTAGTAATTAACATATCATCTAAAATTAAGCAAAGTTAATCAACTCATTAACATATCATCTAAAATTAAATAGAAAATACCTACATGCCCATGCATAACATTTCCTAGTAATTAACTAGTCATGTTGGCTTCCAAGGAAAAAAAAACGTTGTATTGTAAAACATATATGTTATTTATATGTTTTTTAATTCCATGTAAAATAAATTTTTTAAAAAATTTTAATTTTATTATTTTTCCATGTGACTAACTAATTGCTTTCTAGTATCATTTACAAACAAGTCGATATTTTTTTGTTAATTTTTGAATGACATATCAATGGATAAACCAACATTGCTTAATTTTTAAAATAGGACCGAATTTGCAATATAAAGTTTTGAATGACCAAAACTGCACATTCATAAAATTATAGAGACTAAAAATGGATTTAAGCCTTTTTTTATTAGTAATGATAAGATGGGGATTATATATATTTTGAGGATGTTGTTAGGAGTCTAACATTAAGTAGAATAAAAAATTTAATGTGATACTTGAGCCTTAATGTTCTCTCACCTAATGGATTAGTCTTTCATATTAAACTCTTCTCACGTACTTAATTCCTAACATTTTATGCTTTTATTAAGAGTTGAGCTATGAAAAGAACTATCTTTAGGTTGAATTAACATGTAAGCTGAATATTGATAGGTAGACGACATTAAAGAGAAAAAAGTTACTGTCATATTAATGTTAATAAAGTGAAAATTGTTGTGAACATCAACCCTTAAAGGAAGGTGAAAATATTACGAATTTCACATTGAGTTGAATAAAAAAATTAATGTGATACTTAAATATTGAGATTTCCCACCTAATAGATGATGTGTGTATAAATTGCCTTTGCATTCGTACTTTAGTTTAGGCTATTTGCATACATTATTGCATTGTTTGAATGATTTTATCATGCATTATTTTTGTTTTAGATTACACTTTTGGTTTTCTTGTTTTTCTTTGTAAATAAGTGTTTTAGGTGCTTAAATCATGGTTTTAAAGAGAGCAATTATCAAGATGGAAGAGTTGAAGTCAGAGAGTTCCACGAGTAGGTTGTGGATTTTTCCATTCCTGTGAAAATGTTCTAGAATTGCAAAAGTCAAGTCAGAGAATTCCATAGGTTGTGGATTTTTCCATGCTTGTGGTTTTATCAAGTACGAATTTTAAGTGGGCTTGGGCCAAATGAAAAGAAGAGGAAAAGATAACTCTTAGGAATTAAAAGAAAAAGAGAGTCTGAAAGTATAGGAAAATAATCAAAAGAGGAAAAACTGAACATCAAGGAGAGTACAACTCATTAAGAGGAGATCAACCCACCATCAATCGGAAGATGAACGCCTCATCAATCTCTTTTAGTTTTTCCTTTTATATTATGCAGAACTAATTTTCTTTTTTGTTAGAGTATTAATGTAATATTTTGAATTATAGTTCCCGAACCTTTTCAATTGATGTTTAGTTAATTTTAATTATCTCAATGTTCTATCCATGTCTTTAATATTTATTCTAAGAACAATTTCATAATTGGAAGATTGGGGATTGTTTACGAATATAAATAGAACAGATTAGGTTTTGTCACACTTGAAAAATTAGACATATCTAATTAGTTTGTGTTTGAGATGATAATTATTCTTCATGATTCTATTAAATTTTCATAATTGTCCTAAGGAATTGGGGATTAAGATTCAATGAATAGATTTACTTGTCTAAGGAATTAGGGATAAACAACTCTTAATAAACTCAAGTGGGTAATTACAATTCTTGCATCAATTAAAAATGGTAAGAATCTATAGGAAAGAATATGAAATCAATTCTGTAACAATTTTAATATTGAGTGAATTTTTTACATTCATTGTTCCATCTATTTTTTGATTGCTCAAAATTAATATAAATTAGTAATTTAATATTCAACAAATTCAATTTCCAAGAATAATAATATTATTACTACAGTAACGATTGGTACACTTGCCAAACGTGGAACAATAGACTAATATTTTGGATCAAACTCTTTTCGTTAACAAAGTCATACTGTGATACACATTCCCTATACCAATTATTTCTCAACTCTGAACCCTAGTAACTTAAATGTAAGTGTATTTGCATGTCAACCCTTCCCCATTGCCTGAATGAGAAATCCCTTATGGCACAAAAGTCATATCATCCTACGCTACTAAAGTACGTGATCAACTCCTTGTTGAACATGATTGGAAGTACACTCTTAAAAAGATTAAATTCCTCCTTCACCCTTCCAATTTTTTTAGGACCTATACTTTTCTTAAATTTTTTCACAGGTCAATATAAACTTTCAGACGTTCCACGTGTGTAAAGACTTCAACGGTACACATCTCTTTGTAAACAAGTCCTACATAAAACCAACATTCGACATATACAACATTCACACAACCCCGTTATCCATCATCCTTGTCATTTTCTCCATTCTATTCTTCCTCATATCATCAAGATCTCAATGAACAAACACATTCTTCAACCACCAACCTTTGACAAAATGAGCTCATTTCTTCTTTTTTGACAAGTTCATACCTTGTTCATTTTTCCCCTTCCAATTAGTGTGTTTTGACAATTCGGATTTTTTTATTATTATCCCCTTTTTCCTCCACATGAGCATTCTCCATTCATCTAGTATTTTGTTATAAATAAGTCATATGATTACATTCTGAAGGCTACGACTAGTGTTCAATGATTTCAATCATGGCAGGATCTCCATATGAATCTCTTGCTTCCAAGCCAATTAACAACTAGCTCCAAGACCCTAGATTCAATCAAAATTAAAATTTCACTTTGATAATATATATTTATATTTAATGTAGACCTGGTAATATACATTTATAAAAGAAGTACTAACAACACACTCCTCTTAACACAGTTATTCTTATTGGTTATAATTTATTGAAAACTACAAAATCATAGAAGATAATTAATTAATAGGATGTGAGACCTACTAATTTTTTGTATTTTTCAATAAATTTCAATCAATGAGAGGTAATGCATTTAAAAATGCATGAAACAGTGTGTTGCTAGCATTTCTTACATTTACACTTATTATCTAAGTGAAACTCCAATTCTAATTAGAAAATAACATTAACAGTCCCTGTGGTATTGTACTTAAGTTTTATCCTTAAAGACATTGAACAACAACAGGTGCACACACACAAGTGCATGCAAACAATATCGAATATATGAATTTTGTGTAATTTAAAAATTAGTTGATACTGTCAATTAATTTTAGTTTTTATGTTGAGTCTAGAGTATTTCTAAGTTGAGAGACAAAACCTAATCCCTCACAGTATTGGCATTTATTTAAGGAATTAATCTTTCTCAAAAAACGATATTCCATATACACAAACATGAAATGAAGATCAAACATTTTACCTAACAGTGCTCTTGTTTAAGAAATTACACTCGCATACCATATTGGTTTCAACTAGATAGTAAAAAGTCAGCCAAATGCTAATCTTAGTTTCATTCTAATATATTTAACTTTTACTCCCTGCTTATATGGAGAAAGAAAACTTGTTAAACTATTAGGAACATTTCCTATTTTTCAGTTTGGCACTCATTATTTCCAGTTTCCACCATTATCTAAAAAACAATTTCTACTCTCTACTTTATACTTTTATTCTCCATTTTCTCTACTTTATCTTTAATGAAAAGGGCCCTCTGATTGGCTAGCAAAACAAGAAAAAATTGGTTTATTTCTCTACCTTTCTCTTATCACCTATCACACCTAAAATTCTCTCTTTTTTCTCTCTCTCTCCCTAGGTTTTAACTAGCATGGAGTAGTTACGCAACATTTTTTCTTCATTTACAGTGAAAGGAAATTGCATACCAAATGGCCACTTCATTGAATTAGCAAGGCTTGTAATGTAAATGTAGCAACAGAGTTCAAGCAATTATGTCAAACAGTTAAATTTTGGACATATGCCGGACTCTCAATTTCATCACATTAGAAAAGAAAAGAAAGTGGTCATAAATTCCAAAAGATTAAAATATAAAGCAAGGATTTTGCTCTGTATTCATAATGCTTTATCGAAGCATTTCCAACTCTGATATATAGAGGCAAAGAATTCATATCAAGTAGTGACCTAGAATTTGTGCACAACCATACTCTTACTGGATAACTTCATGAATTCCAGAGAAAATGCAAAAGAGAAAATATTAAAATTCATAATCAAAACTAGTATTTGTAATTTGTAAGTTTATATTCCAGGATCACAAATCCAATCTGGATCAGATCAATGAATTTGCAACAAAGGGATGCCTCTCACATAACATCCTTCGAGGAAGAAACTCACCTCAATCATTTCAAATGATCTTGCCTCCTCTACAGAGATACTACCACTAGCTAAGACACTGGTGCAACAGCATTGCAGATGAGAATCATGAAATACTTTTTGAAGCCCACTAGAATTCACAATAATTACAACAAGTCTTTGATAAATTCAAGGTTTAGGGTATCACGAACAATAAGGAATAACCCCAGAATTATAACAAGCATAATTCCAGAAGACATGATCGTTTGCTCCACTTCCAAAGGAAGCTTTCTCCCACCCCTGGCAGCCTCAATGAGGATCAATGCCAATGTGCCTCCATCCAAAGCTGGCAAAGGAAGAAGGTTTATAACAGCAAGGTTAATATTGAGGATCGCGGCGAATTGAAAGAGACCATCAATATTCGACCTCGCCACTTCTGCACCAACAGCAATAATGGCCACAGGACCTGAAACCTTACTAGCTGACTGGGAGAAGTTCAAAAAAGTCTGCTTTAAGCCATCTAAAACATTAGAAGCCAGACCCCAAAACTCTTTTCCAGTAAACTCCACAGCCTCCACCAGATTTTTTGGCCTAACCTTAGCTATCTTAACATTAGGAGCAAGCTGAACTCCAATTTTCCCGGTTCCATCATAATTCTCGTCAGGGGTAACCCCTACCTCAAAATTCTGCTCCCCCCTTTTAATCTTGAGCAACACGTATCTCTTGGGGTTCCTCTTTATTACATCAACAACTTCAGAAACAGCATTAGGACCTGGTTTATTAAACTCACTTCCATTCACCTCAAGGATCAAATCCCCAGCAAGCAACCCATCTCTGGAAGCAGCTGAAAAGGGTCTAACATCAGGCACAACCACCCCAGGGAAGACCTCTTGCTCAGGCAAACCAACAGAAAGCACTTGAGCAAAGATAATAGCCAATGCAAAAACTATGTTAGCAACAACACCAGCTGAGACCACAATCAATCTATCCAATATTGGCCTGTTCTTAAGCAAGTTTTCATCATCAACAGGAATATCACTCTCAGGATCATTATCAGGGAACCCCACAAAGCCACCAAGGGGAAAAGCCCTGATGGAATATTCCACATTTTTTGCATTGAACTTTGCTAAAATTGGACCAAACCCTACAGCAAACTTACTCACATGGATGCCTTGGAGAGAAGCAGCAAGGAAGTGGCCACTCTCATGCACAACTATGATGGCTGTCAACACTGCAGCAGCCTCGAGCACAGACTGAGGCCCCTCAAAGTTGCCATAGTCAAACCCAGCAAAAGACCATGTCCTGAAATCCAACCTGTTCCTGCTATTTCCATGCAAAAAGTGCTTCTTGAAGGTGAAGTTGAATCTTGGGGAGGCGAAAGAAGGGGAAAAAAGAGGTTTTGGGAAGTGGGTTTTGAGCCTGAACAGGGGTTCTGAAATGGGTGACTTCGAATTCGCCAATCGGATTACGGAACTGGAATGTAAAGGTGGGGAGGGAGAGAGGTTTACGACCATGGCTTCTGAGAAGGGTGGACAACATTGAAAGTGGAATTGGATAATTCATTTAGGTTATTTTATTTAAAATAAAAAATTCTTCTTCTTTTGGATCTGTGGAGGAGAAGTGAGGGACATGTCTTCCTCTTATTTTCCACAAGTTGTTCTGTCTGTCGTTGTTCTCATAATCTTTTCTATTTATATTTTCTGCGAAGCCCAAAGAAGAAACTTTCGTGCAGGTTGCTTTTCAATTATTCACGCCCCCATTTTACTACTTACACTCCTTTTCTTTCTTTCTTTTTTTTTTTTATAAAAAAAATTAAAACAAGTGGGTTCAAGTTCAATACATAATTTGATATCTGAATTTTAAAATTTTTTAATTAAGTAAAAAAAATGTTTTGACATCTATGATTGTAATTTAGTCATGTAATTTAGAATTTTATTTATAATTCAAAAAAAATTATAAAATATTTTTAATATTCACATATTTGAACAATCATATTACATTATTATTTTGTGTCATTACTCATCATTCATATGTAATGAAAATTCCTTTGTCTTGCTTTGAATCCAAAGCCTAAGTTAGAATTCACACACAAATTAAGCTAGAAATGAGTTGTTAATTTTTATACATATTTTAATTTATAACACTCAGAACTTGGAAAACTTCCAAAATGAAATGGAAGATTACATTTTAAAATACAATTTAGGCTCAAGAAACACTTAAAAAAGTATATGTAGAACAAGAGATATTAAAATAAAAAATTCAAATAGAATTTAAAATTGGCAATGTAAAAATAAACAAAGAAACAGAAAATAGAAAAGGAAGAACATGATAAGCATCATAAAAAATAATGTTTGATAAGTTTTGAGGATCGTCACAAGAATTGAACAAATTTTTTATTAGATCAAATGATTTAAAGAAGAATTCTAGCAAACAATTCTCATGCTTTAATAATAAAACTAACAAAAGGTGTTATATTCATTCGCTTCAAAATGGTTAATACAAATTAATTTTAATGCACTTGGAAGTAAGTAAAAGAAGAATAAAATCTTAACATTATAAGTATAACTAAAATGCCTTAGTAGTTAAGTGAGACATAATTAAGTTTGAGATTTAAGCTTCAAAATTAGCTATAATCACTTTATTATTATTATTTTTTTGTTAAATGACTAAGTCAATAGTTGATCTTCTATTCCCACTCCAAGCAACAATACATGTGACTGGAAACCCCATTTTAGGTTCTTTCATTTAATTAGGTTACCCTCAAATTAGTCATCATATATTGTAATTTTTGGACCTTTTTAGCTTTGCTCTTGTCATGAGGGACCTTTGATGTCCTTATCTATATGTACCAATAATGTTTGGTAAAATTTCATGAATTGTGAACAAATTCATAACTTCATAGATCAAATTATAAAAATGTAAAAGATTAAAGAACTAATTATAATTTTTTTTTAGTTTAAAAACATGATAAAAAAATTAAAGAATAAATAATGTATTAAAAAAACTTTAAACTACGTCATTTTAACTTCCCATCTTCTTTTGGCAAAGATGTCTTATTTTCTTTTTTTAGATTTTGTATTTTTTATTAAACACTATATTTTGTATTGTGTGTATATATTACTATCCGTATTTTAATTTTATTTATCCTATATTATCACTTCATGATCTTCATCTATATTTACCAAATTATTTCAAACAATTAGTAAATAATTTATTAATAATTAATTTTGAAATATACTTTTTAAATTTATTATAATTATAATAATGACACCAATGTTAAACTTAATATTCTGTGTATAAATTATACTTCTCTTACTATCTTATTATTAGATAGTCTCTAATGGTTCAAATTTGAAATGCTTCTAAGTGTAAAACTATCATTTTTCATTAAAATAACACAAAAATAAAATCAAATACACCACCGAAATGCTTCTAAGTGTATGTATAACTATCATTTTTCATTAAAATAAAACCAAATACAGTACCGAAACATCTAAAGCACATAAAATTGGTTTCGAAATTCGAAGTTCTAAATAAGAAGCAGATATACACAACAGGGATTGTTCACGCCACTGGGCCATAACATAAGTAATGAAGGTTAGACCATAGCAACCATAAAATGTAGGAAATGGGCCTATCTTTTAGAAATCAATTCCCATCTATGCTCCCAGGTTTCAAGCAAAATTCTGAGTTTTTAATGTATTCGTGCAAAAAGAAATAAAAGTCAAATGTTGTTTTACGATACTTGATTACTTGATTAATTTACAAATGTGCTTTTCAACGTGCTTTTGTTCCATCCAAATATTAGTTTCAGTTCATTTCTCTTGTGGTTGAAAGAAATATATTCTTATGAAGTAAGCATATATAATTCGTTGACTTCATTTTTATTTTTGAAGATGGTAACTTAATATAAAATAAACTTAGAATGATAATCAGAATATGAAGTTTGTCTCCGAAGGTTTAATTTACCACCATTTTTCATAAGTCAGAAATGATAAGTACATATTGTATTTTAGCAATGGCAATTCAACTTTAGTTATTTTTTTAATTAATGCTTGATTCCAGCCTCATTAATTAGCTTTTAAATTCAATGCTTTAAAATCCAACTTAGACAAAGGCTCAAAAAAGATGTAATAATGTATTTAATATGTATTTACATTTATTTTTTTATATAATAAAATAAAGTCTTTATTATTGAAAGTGAAAAACCATTTTTTTAAAATATTTTTTCTCTTTTTTAAAATGTGATTTTGCAGATTATATATATATATATAAGGTGTTCCTAGATAAATTTGATTTTAAAAAACTATTCAAGTTAAATCAATCTTTTAAATACTAAACATATAATCGATATCGGAATCTAACCAAACTCCAAACTCATTAATGGATTTATTTTGATTTGGTTCAATCAACCTTTTGAACAAATATACTTGCTAAAACTTACTTTCATTTTGTTTTACTTTCCGTGACTCAAGTAACAATTAATTAATACGACTAAATATTTTAATAAAAATAACAAATAACCATTAAAATTTTATAAAAATACCGCTAAGTTGTTTGATTCGGTTGTGTTTGAAAATTATAAAAATATATGAGTTTGATTTTATATATTTTTTATGGTAAAAAACAAATTTAGTTAACTTGATTGATTTTACCAATTTAGTTGAGAACACTTCTAATTATCTGTAAATGCTATACTAAGCAATATTAACTTTTAACTTGTAATTGAACAACGATAATATATAATAAAAATGAATAATCAATCAAATTTACATTCAGAAAATAATTGGAGTACGTACAATCAAGTAGCTAATCATTTTAAAAGCTGATATCGAACTCAAAATATAAAATCAAGGTGGTTCTTCCAAGTTCCAATTAATTATTAGAAATTCGTCATACAAATTAATTCAGATGGATTCAATGCCAAATCCAGCTAATCCATTGTTTCATTGGTAAGTTCAATCTTAACTGGAAGTAACGTCATCCTTGAGCCAAATCTATGAAACTTGCGTTGATTTCCAAAAATAAATTCCAATTTCTTGATGGAACAATCTCAAGGCCAGATAAATTTGATCCTAGTTTTCATGCTTGGGAAAGATCGATGCAATAATAACCTAAATTTTATTGGATATTGAGTTCTGTATAAATTTTATTGGATATTGAGTTCTGTATAAATTTTATTGGATATTGAGTTCTGTATCAAACTCTCTAACTCAGTGTCTTGTTTTTGTTGAAAGTCTGAACTGTGGAGCAATATGAGACTCAAGTTCTAAGCATCTGATTGGATAAATTTCTACGTAAGTATTTACAAAAAAGTAAAATAGAAAGAATTTTTTTTTAAAAAAAAACTATAAGTTAAAATTAACACATGCATAAACTATTCGGTAGAAGTTCTTTCTTATTAATTTTTCCAAAATCTTATTTTTAACTCATAAGTTAGTTTTAGCCTATAAAAAAATATTTTAATTCTTCTTCTTCTTTTTCTCCTACAAGTATTTTTGAAGAAAAAAATCCAAACAAACCCTAAATCTACGTTAGTTGTAAAGTTCTTATGATTTGAGGCAAATGTCAAAGCTATTGTTAATGTGTAGATGGATGATCGTAAATCTCTTGACGTTTTCTTTATTTTTAAAAAATGTTGTTGGTGTGAAGTATCTGAGTTGAATTTTTATAATTAAAAAAAAAAAACTCATTATATTTTACATGTCATTGTGCTCCACATTCAATGGCTTAGTGATAAATTGTTATATTGCATATTAGGTTTATTAGCACTAATTATATTCGATGCAAAGTGCATTATGGTCAATTAAACCAGCGAATGAACTTTTATATCCCGAGTTTTGAATGACTTTAATTTCTATCGACGATAATTAACTAATTAAAAAATGTTAGATATATGATATTTAAGGTATTCATTATAAAATTAATAAATTTATCGTATATAATACTCTGATTAAATAATAGTCTAAATTTTTTTATATTGCTAGCGTAATTAAATTAACTTTGTTTGAATTACTATAAATTATTAGTGTTGATCAATAAAACTTTGAGTTATTAAAGAACTTATCTTCGTTGGAAAAAAGAAGGAAAGAAAACATATTTATAACTGGTTTGAATGATGACAATACCAAAATGAATAAATTCTTTGATGTGAAAAGTACATTTTTAAGTATGGCAAGTGGGGACAATCAATAATCTTCAATCAACATTATATAGAGAAACACATAGCAAACTAAAAATGACACGAGGATAAAAATGAAGCAAAGACCATTTCTCATCAAAGTCCCCTAATGCTTAAGTAAGCAGTTTCAATAATGAAGGCCATTAATGATAAGAACAAAAAAATGTGCCTTTAACCAACTATTTTTTAATAAGTTATAATTTTAATAACGATACTAAATTAAGTTCTAACATAAGATCATTTGGATTATATTTCACTCTTTACTATTAAACTGATTTTAGTAATTTTCTTTAACACTCTAATTAATATAGAGCAAAGGAAATAAAAAAGGTAAGAAAATTTGGAAATTTAAATTAAAAATGAAAATTAATTTTTATTTTTACAAGCTTGCTTTAATTTTTAACAAAAAAAATATTATTATATGTATGTATGTATTTCTTTTTTAGTACCTACAAGAAATGTTACATATATTGACATACAAAAAATGTTAATATAGGTACAATATATGTAATTAGTATATATCTATTTGACATATAGTTACACATTTTTAGTGTTGATTTTAAATGAGATTTAACAACATATTTTGTGTGTCACTATAGTTTATACTCACATTTTTTAACCATATAACAACATATATTATATTTATTGTGTAGGTAAAAGTAATTTTTAGCGACACATATTATGTCACTATATGACAATATTCTTGTAGTGAATATTAACAACACACTCTTGAATATAATATTTATTATTATTATTATTTTAAGCTTATTACAAATTACAAGATCATAATAATGCTTGGTAAGTGAAAATTACATTTTATATACATTAATTAACCTTTAATTATTAACTTTATATAAAACATCACATGAACTATGACTACATATGAACAAAAATATTATTTAAATAAAATGTGAGAATTGAGATTATGATTTTTTTTTCAATACATTTCAACTACGAAGTGTGTTCAAAATAATGTATTAAACATAATATTTCTTATATAAAACTAAGAAATATTTTATATAAACAGCAAGATGCCAAACCAGACTACATTTAAAATAATAAAAAGAAACACGGTTGCACCCCACCCCCATATATATATATATATATAAGAAATATTACACTGCTTAATAACGTTATATTAAATATGAATTTTGTAAACTCAACCGTTAAATTGAAATTTTTTTACTCTTAAATCATATATACAAAATTTTATATTAATCCAAGATGATTTGATAATTCATTCTTATAAAAAAAAAAATTAACGTAATATATATATTTCAAAATATACTAAAATATGAACACTTTGATTACCTTTAAGTTGTTGTTCAATTTTAACAAAATTTGATATAAACATATAAAGTGATATGAACTTTCAATCTAACGGTTGGATTTACAAAATTTACATTTAATATAAAATTATTAAGCTGTGTAATACTTAGCAAAAGTTATACCGGTGTTATTATAACTCTCCTCTCACTCTTTATATATATATATATATATAAACTAATATTAAACATTTAAGGTAACTATATATTAATAACAAAATGATTAAACTCTTATACATATTCATCTCTCAATAATAATAAAATAATTATCACAGTAATATACTTATAATAATTTTTTTTTGCAATACAATTATAAATATAAAAATTATAAAAAAAAATAAAAATATTTATAAGATTATATAAATTTTATGTGTAATTATTAAAATATCCATTATAATACATTAGTTAAGATTAAAATAATCTTAAATTTTAAATTAATCATAGTGGAAAAGTAAATATCTCTTAAAAATAGTAAAGTAATTTTTATAGTAAGTAATTAAAATATTATAAGCACATTTAAAATAAAAATACAATTTCATTAATATTTGCAACACACAACACAACACACACACACACACACACATATATATATATATATATATGGAGAATGCTAATATATTACTACCTATTTTTTAGTAAGAGTATGTTAGCAACCTATACCAAAATTTTAGGACAAAAAAATTACTCATTTCTTTTGATTTGGTTAATTTGTATAAAGAATATTATAGTAATTTAATTTAATTTTAAATAAAATAAAATATTTTCTCTCTCTTATTAACTTCATTTACCAATTCTATTAATTAATTTTTATTTGTTCAAGGAGAAAGGGGGTGAGACATCATGAGAGATGAGAGAGAAATGAGTTAAAGAAGGAATTTAATAGGAGAGAGATAAATAAGTTAGAGAAAGAATTTAATAGGAAAGAGAAATGAGTTGGGAGAATTAATTAATAAGAGAGAGAAAATATTTTATTTTCATTCAAAATTAAATTACATTACTATAATATCCTTTGTACGAATTAACCAAATCAAAAGAAATAAGTGGTTTTTTTGTCCTAAAATTTTGGTGTAGGTTGCTAACATACTCTTACTAAAAAATAGGTGGGAGTATATTAGTATTCTCCATATATATATACTCCTTCCGTTTTTTTTTTCATAGTCGTTTTGTCAGAGTTTGTTGTTTTTTTTTTCATTGTCATATTACTAAAATCAATGAGTTATTAATTTTTTTCTTCCATTTTTACCCTTAATAATTAATACATGTTTCTTGAACAATGTGTGTATTTATTTGTAATGTCTACCTAATTTTTCTCTAACTACTCATATAAAGTTAATATGCATTTATAAGAGCAATATGTTCCCAACAAAATACTATATAAAAAACAAAAAAAGGGACAACTATTTAATGGAGTAGTTCAACAGTCTAAAAAATGCAAAAAAAAGAGAGAGGGTAAAATAGGAAAGTAAGTAATAAATATTTTTGAAAACTAAAATATCAATGATTTCCTTAATTCCCGTGCAAAACCTTAAACGACTATGAAAAAAAACGGAGGGAGTATATATATATATGTGTGTGTTGTCTGTTGCAAATATTAATAAAATTGTATTTCTATTAACATTCCCTTATATATATATATATATTAATCTTTAAAACAAAAAAAAATATTATGAAAATAAAAACAAACATAATAAAAAAGCCACACATAATAATTTTTATTATAAATAAAATAACATTATAAAAATAAAAACATTTACATCACATATATATTATTAAATCTATCATATATAAAAATATAATAAATTGAAATAACAATTAAACACCTTACATTCGCGATAACAATTTGTTTAATTAAAAATCTGATATTCAATTTTTGTCGTATGCAAAAACATTTTATCCTAACAATAATATCATAAGCGTGTCTAGTCTTTTTTGGTACATATAAACATGTTTAGTATATGACCCAATAATAAACTAAAGATTTCAGTGTCAAAAAAACAACGTCATCAAATAAAGATGAGCCTGATTTTTGTCTAAATCCAAAAGTATACGGTTGAGTCATGAGTGGGCCTTGTGATTATGATTTTGTTAGGAGTGATGACAAATGGCAAGAGACCAGGATCATAGTTAAATCATCAACCTGTCACAGCATGTAAAACCCTAGAGTGGTTCCTTGACCCACGAAAAGAAAAAAAAAAAAAAAGGAAATTAAAAAAATAAGATACTAGTGGACATGAAAATGTAACAAGTGTGATGAGTCTATGATGCTCATCTCACGTCATCAATTGTTTTGATTCACAAAAGGAACGTTTTTAGTCTTAATTTCTAGTATTAATTAAGTATGTTAAATAAATTTGTATTTGTGAATAATGTTTAAATTTGTTTAGATTTTGATGAAAAATATTTAGTTTGATTGAGTACAAATATAAGTAATATCTTATTTATTATTATAAAAAAATATAAATTATCGACGAATATAAATTTATCAAAAAATTTATATTTTGAACAGATTTTATCGATAAAAATATTTATAAGAAAAATTATATTATCAACGGAATATTTTAAACAGATTTATATTTATCGAAAATGTAAGAATCTCCAACGAAATTTTTTGATAGATGTTTAAGTCAAATTTTTTCCATAGAATGTTACCGATGGATAATGATTTGTAAAAAATTTCATGATTTTTGACAAGAGGTTTTTTATGAAATATCCATTGGAAATGGTTAATATTCTATCGAAAATTTGATTTGTAAAAAATGTTTAATATTCTATCAAAAATTGTATCCATCGAAAATATTTAATATTCCCTTTGATAATAATAAAGATGATTAAAATTAATAATCATATATTCAAAAAGATCAATAAAATTAAGTACATGAGTCAAGATAGATATATACTTATTTGTTTCACATTCGTATTCATACTTACTTTAAATTTTTAGAAACTTATTTTATATTTTAAAAATTTACTTGACATTTATATAATTCTTATTTTATTTTAAATTTATAACAAGTGAAAGTTAATTATTTTGTAATTGTTACTCTAAGTTGAAATTTTTGTTTTTTCAAAAAAAAAATTTAGAAAAAAATTTAATTAATTTTTGAATGGGTATAATACTCGATAGAAATAGAAACATAAATTTCATACTCATCAAATATGAAAATGAAGATAGATATAAAATATGAGAATGAGGATGAAGACAAAAATAGTGAAACTCGTATCTACTCCATTACCATCCTAGCATCAATAGACTTCGAATATACATTACCAATTATAATCCCCTTACTTAAAAAAAATTGGATTGATTATGGAATATATATATACTTATACAATAACTTTACATTAATTATAAATTTTTTAAATCCAACCGTTAGATTGAAAATTCATATTTCTTAGTTCATATATGCAAAATTTTATATTAATCCAAGATGATTTGATACTTCATTTTTATAAAACAAAATTGACGTAATATATTCATTTCAAAATACACTAAAATATGAACACTTTGATTACCTTCAAGTTATTGTTCAATTTTAATAAAATTTGATATACACGTATAAAGTGATATGAACTTTCAATCTAATGATTGAATTTATAAAATTTGCAATTAATATAAAGTTATTGAGTGGTGTAATACTTAGTAAAAGTTACACCAGTGTTATTATAACCCCCTCTATATATATAAACACTTTGGTTACCTTCAAGTTGTTGTTATAACAAAATTTGATATACACGTATAAAGTGATATGAACTTTCAATCTAACAATTAAATTTACAAAATTTACAATTAATATAAAGTTATTGAGCGGTGTAATACTTAGTAAATTAAGTTATACCGGTATTATTATAACCCCTCTCACACACACACACACACACATATATATATATATATATTTTTTCTTCAGAGAAGAAAAAGAGGGAATTGCATTTGATGAACAGTACGCAGTGGATTTAGAGCCACAATAATACCCTACTCCACCAGTTAAACGAGTATTACTACCAAATCAAGGGGTAATGCTCACATGCCCTAGTTAGAATATCATGCTTTGCGGTGCTTATAATAAGAAGCCTCTATCATCTCTTTGAACAAGCAAGACTCGATAGTTGTTACATTTAGAAAATATTGTCATAAAGACATTCTCTGCTAGTATTTTGAAAATAAATATAGAAAAACATCAGCACTAGAAAATATCATATAGAATGCAGTATGTTTTGCCATTTGAAAAGTTCGAAAGCAGTAAACAAAAACATGCCCTGTTTGAGTGGGACATAACTCACCGTTGCTGCATCAAACACGTACAGTTTTTCCCCTGTTGGAATGTGAATTGTCATTGGGCCAACTTCCCCATTCAAGAGCTTGTTAAGAAGGCGAATGTTGGCAAAAGTTCCCCTTGCCATCACCTCATCATTGCCACGACGACTTCCGTAAGAATTGAAGTCCTTGCGTTCCACCCCACGCTCAAGAAGGTATTTAGCAGCAGGACTGTCCTTGTGGATGCTTCCAGCAGGAGAAATATGATCAGTGGTTATACTGTCACCAAAATTCAGCAAGCAATAAGCATCTTTTACACCATGAGGTCCAGGAGGATCCATGGTCATGTTCTTGAAGTATGGGGGTTCATGAATATATGTTGAGTTGGGATCCCATGAGTAGAGAGTTTCAGCAGGTAATTGTAGCTGAT